GATCCATCCCGGCTGCGGCGGGCGGTCTCAGTATATCAGCAATAGCCCGCGATATACTGAGCTTTGGGTCACGGGAGGAGGTTAGTATATGTCCTCCCGTGACCCTAAAAAGAACTATGGGGAAAAACACTTACCCCATAGTTCTCTTTTAATTGTTCTGGACAAGCAAGACAAGGCCGTGCCTGAGAAAACCTCCTTTAACCATTTTACCTACAACTTGGCTTAATGATGGAGAACACTTTCTACTATTAAAGAAGAACTCCCCCCACTGCAATTGTTAACTGCTCGTTTTAGTCTAGGGTCTAAAATAAAAAAGATATATACTCATACCTTGGTGCCCAAAACTCTTTATGTCCAATTTATGCCCAATTTTTGGTGTAGTGCATCAGAGAAGAAGGAAATGCCAGGCGGAGGGCCTTGTGTTGCTTGTCCATAACGAAACAGCTTTCACACTGTGCTGCCGACTTCCTTCTTTTGGCTTTACCAATGGTTTGGGATGAGAGCAAACCCCTGCCTGGCCTTGGCACCTAGCTAACTAAGGGGGCGACCCAGTATATAAGACTTGGAAGCTGTGGACTTTTTTTTTTTGCTAGTAAAGTCATCTGGCCAGTAGAGGAGCAGCGTGGGACATGAAGCATACACACAGGTGAGTGACCACTAAACATCAGTGCTCGGGAGGATTTCCTGATCCAATGGGCACCAACGATGGCGTACTATCCTCCTATTGACCACTAGAGCATTCACTCCTACTGGCCACCAATGCCAAGGCAACTTATTAGTTTTATTGATGCTGGGGCATTCTTTTTTCTGACTGATCACTGATACTTGGGGGCAATTTTGTTTATTCCATTAAAGCAGAGGCATTCTTCCTCCCACTGACTACTGATGCCGGGGCATTGTTGTACCCCCAATGAAGCCAGGGCCTCTCACTGACTGATTTTTTACTCTATGAAACACCAACACTGGGGAATTTTTTTACTCCCACAGCTACCAGCAGTCTGCCAAACCGGGAACTGGCGGTTTGTTTGAGGACCCCTGCTTTTAAACAATATATTGATTTTCCCTCCTTCCAGAGCTCTGCTTTAGGATACACAGCATCACGTTCTCCACTTTATAACATCACATGGTGCAAGTTTCCTGTAAGAACACTCACGATGACTCTATCTAGGATTTTTATGAAGAGTGTGCTGATTTAAAATGTCTGCTATAATTTTAGCACTTAAACCAATGCCAAGTGTACAGGATACAAAAGCCATGATAAATATATATTTTTTAAAACTAAAGCTGACTTAAACAAATGACTGTGTTCTAAAGATCAGTATAAATGATCAGTATAAATGAATTAGTAATTCAGAGGGAATAATTCATTATTAGCATATCTACATCCCCTTCATAAGGGAAGGACTGTATAATTCAAATTGTGGCATAAACAAGGGAATGTTAATGATATGCATAATTTACCAACAACACATGAATTAAAGTATCTCAATGTTTATTTTTACATATAAAAAAAAGAGAACTTGTTAGAAATTCCCTATATTCTGCTAGTGATAACTATAAGAAAAATACCTATTACAATCTCATATGTGCATGGCATAGATTATTTTGCAAGCAATTACTTTTTTCCAACCCGTTTTTCCAACAAAGTCAATTTTTTCCAGGATAAATATGTGTTAAATAGTAAAGATAATCTTGTGTATTGCTTCATAAATAGATTGTTTGATAGTACACAGGGCTGTCCTTATAATGAGACAGCCTGAGGTGGTCGCCTCAGGTGGCATCTCGTTGGGTCAGATGTGCCTGACACCCGCTTTGTGGCCAGAGCATCCCAGGTTGCTAAGAACTATTAGCAACCTGTGACACTGTAGCCAATGTTCCACCCAGCTAGTGGCAACTGGTGATGTCACTGGTTGCCAGGAGCTGAGCAGGACATCCTGGCCAGCGTCCTGCCCAGCTCGTGGCAACCAGTGACATCAATGAGCTGGGCAGGACGCTGAATGCCTCCCTCCCTAATGTGCCACAACTAGCAACCCCCTTCATAATGTGCACTATTTGCACACTCCCCCCCTCCCCCGTAACTTACACCGGCAGCACCCATCCACCCCGCCTCAGGCAGTGAATAGTCTAGGGACATCCCCGATAGTACATCTCTATCCTTTGACGAATTGTCAAGAGACCACCCCTTAGGAGGCATCTGGAGTAAATGACCAGTGCCCCATGTCAGGATAAGGGGGTGTCAGCCTGAGAGGACCATTCCTGCCTGGTCCTTGCCTCCATTTGTCAAATATGTAAACAGGAGAATATTAAATGTCTAACAAATTCTCTTTTTCATAAGTTTAATAAACATTGAGATACGTTTTAGTTGTGTGTTGGTGGTCAACATATCATAAATATACTCCTTTTTTTCCATTGTTTGCATTATAAAATTGCTATGATCCTCCTAGCTGAGCCAAACTCCTGGGAGACCCAGGAGGGATGTGGGGGAGGCATTCCAACTGATTGTACTAGTTTAAGAGCTTGCTGATGCATAATTTGCATTCCAATACTCACTCTCTAGTGATGGCACCATACTTGACGCTGTCTATGCTACCCATGAGTTGACCATAAAAACTTTTGTTTTATATAGTAGGAAAGGTTTAAAATCCCTGTCAGGTTTATCCCTGTCCCTGTCCAATTGGGGAGATTTCCCTTCACTTTCTGTTTCAGGGACTCAACGGGAAGTGAGTGGAAAACTCTCCAAAGAGAAGGGAAATTCTCTTTAAGGCAGCTATCAATACAACAAATGTCCTCATTTGGAGATGATCCCTTCACTTGCTGTTCCTGACAACTGTAAAATGTTGGATTTCCCATCACTTTCTGTCCTGGCGGGACATTCTTCCCAATGGGGAGAGTGAAGGCATTAGATACCCTTTGCTTTCATGTATTTTACCTCCACCAAATATGCTTCAGGATTCATGTTGTCCTTTGATGTCACTGTTGGGGCATCTCGCTTAATATTTTTGATGTAGATGATGCTAATGGCTAAACCAAAGTCTGGTCTGCCAGGAAGTGGGTTGGTTGACTCTTGCCACCATTCATTGTAGAAGGTGCCAGCAGCACAAGATGGAGAAGGAATCGAAAAACATCGCTGGAGCATGGAGAAGGTAAGTAATGCTTGGCCAGTTTTAATATAGATTAGGGAAGGGTCCCTTTAATTAAAAAGAAAGAAAATAGCGTTAAAGTTCCATCAGTATGCTTATAAATTCCAGTTGTAGAATGTTATCTAAAGACCTAACCTGTACGCTAAGCTGCACCAACTAGCTGGCTCTTGAGTGATTTATGGCTGCCACATGGCTGAAACCGCTAACCACAGTCTAATCCATCCGCCACCATGATTTTGCTTCCAGTGCTTTGAGAAAGATAGACAAAGTCGTGTTCATCAAGGGCCTTTTAATGCATGTCCCTCTGACATGTTGGTTGACAGATCCAACTCTTGAGGTGGTCAGTCCAATGAATGACCTCAACATTGATGAAGATGACACCGCAGAGTTCATCTGCCAGTACTCTAGGCCAGTGCAGGCCACCTGGAAGAAAAACGATGTAGCCGTAAATTCGGACGGGAAGAGAATCATTGTCGAGCAGGATTGGAATGTGGCCAAGCTGACCGTTAAGTCCGTGGTTCCCGAGGACCGTGGTGTGTACGTGTGCGAGGCTGACGGCACTAGAGTTGTGGCAATGCTCGAAGTCGAAGGTGAGGTCTTCCACCACATACGGAAGACTCTTACTCCTGCCTAACAAGCCAACCGTTAATAATTATTACTGACCTGGATGGGTTTTAAGTCTTTACAGGGATTTCCACATCTTCTCTGCATTCCTGGTTTTTGCATTATAGGTCACCTCCTGGAGTAGAAGAAATCACGTTTACTCTTTTACTTGCAAACTGGGAAGATTGGTTGTTTTTGGTTTAGTGTCAAAGTCACAATTTTCACCAATATAACATGGGTCCAAACACATATAAGGGCCGAACCTCATTGCTCATTTGTCAAAAATTGTATTCCCTTTAGTACCAGCATGTGAACATTTTTGGCTTTCTATTGTTTTGCTGTCATACTTTGATATTCTGCGTTGTTGTTCCGTATGTTAAAAAATATGTGTTAGTTATTGTTTTGGATTAATTGCTCCTAGTCTTAGGGTAGCTTGTGAGCAGTATTTCAATACCAGAGGTCCCCCTCCAAGTGGCGGAACTCCAGGGCCCGGTCGCGGCCGCGACTTCTGCGACCCTGGTAGTTCCGCCACTGACCAGAGGGTAGACATATAGCAGTACAAAGCACCAGGATATAAAACAACCACACACAATGACATAAAAGCAACTTTTTTGAGATACATATCATTTGTATGGGTTTGTCCATTTTGTCAAGTCCTAGTCAGGGCCGGATTTATCATTAGGCAGAGTAGGCACGTGCCCACAGGCGCCCTCCATAGATGGGCAATGTGCTAGTACCTACTCTTCGTAATTCCTAGTGTTGGGTCAAGATACGGCAATAGCAAGGAGGGTACAGTCTGCACAAAATGCACCCTCCTGCTCCAAGACCCCGGCACTGTGTAAGGCTGCCCTGTACAATGTCCCTGTCTGATGCAGACAGGCGTTTAGGACAGCCTTAGGCGACGCCGGGGTCCTTCTCTGCATATGTGAAAGCCAGCGGCAGCAGGTAAGGGCGCTGGTTTAGGCTAAACAGATTTCCATTCATGCCTACAGGCAGCCAAAATGGAAAGCCGGCCCTGGCCCTAGTGTGTGCCTTTTATTAGAGTGCTGTGTCTTCATTTGCATTTCCTATTTACAAGGTGTATAGTTTCCTCTAAACATGAAGGTTTACGGTGTGAAGGCACCACCAACACTAAAGGCCCAATTTTAAAGCACCTGTTGTTACTTTTATCCAATGTCTGCAAAAGAGACACCAGAATTTAGCCAAAAAATCTCTAACCTTGTTCCGAGTGTTCTAAAATGTGGCCTCTGCATTCAGGCTGCCTCCCCAAGCATTTGTTTACAAGATTAACCACTTCCAACTAGACTTGTGCGCCATCAGAAAATTTGTTTCGTTTCGGAATATCCGTTATTTCGTATTTCGTGACCGAAACTCAATTCCGATTCGTACGAAATACGAATGTTCGTTAGTTTCGTCACATTTTTGTAACTTTACGAACACTTGTTATGATGAAGTTAAAAAGCAAAAATACCTTTGTTAATATTGGAGTCGATGGTAGTTTTTTTTAAAATCCGAAATCCGAAATTCCGTTAACGGATTTCGGATCCGAATTTCCAAAAAATACCATCATGGCATCAACTCCAATATATTAACAAAGGTATTTTGCTTTTTAACTTCATCATAACGAATGTTCGTAACGGAACAAAAATACGTTAACGGAATTTCGTATTTGCTGCCTGTATTGTAATGCAACTCTCAGCAGCAGCGGATCCGAATTTCTTGTCATGTTGTTCAACCTCATTTACAGGTGTAATATTAGTTCCCGTTTCAACTAAATTCGGATCCGAAATTCATTAACGGAATTTCGTATTTCGGATATAATTCGGAAACTGCAATTCGGATTTCGGATGCTTCCGAATTTACGAATTTCAGGAAATTCGTACGAATTTCGATTCGCAACAAAACGAATCGCACATGTCTACTACCCAACAGGTTCACGTAAATGTACGTCATCCGCTGGAAGTGGTTATACCAAGAACACGGCTGCTGCAGCAATTAGCGGATTTTTCTATATAGATTCAATCTTTTGTTGAAATAGGTTTACATTTTCTCCTAATTACTGAGAAGTATTCTATGAAGTTTTTTGAACCAATACCGGTCTCTGATTTTTAAAAGCGGCTGAAGCTCAGATTAGTGAGCAGTTTTTTTTTAGCAGTCTTTCCTTGTGTCTTTTCTACTAGCCAAGAATAAGATCTTACAAGGTCTGGAGAACATAGATGCGGTAGAGGGTGGCGAAGCTCTTTTTGAGTGTTACTTGGCCAAACCAGAATGCTACAACTTCAACTGGCTGGTAGATGATGAACCAGTAAAAACAACGGAGAACATTGAGCTGGTGTTCTTTGAGAATGGGCGCAGGCATCTCCTCTTGCTGAAGAACCTCACTGCTGAGGACAGTTGCCGAGTCACATTCATGGCAGGAGATGTGGCTTCATCTGCTTTCCTCAGTGTTCGAGGTAAGGCCTGGGATCACTGCATGCCAATTACGCTTGCTGTGCCATCACTGGGCACTG